ATGTTGAACCTGTCTTTTGTTAAACATCAGCTGTTGCCTGGCTACTTCCCACCATGCTGTTTTTTATTAATCCTGTCTTAGGTCTGCTTCATTTGTTGTTTCTTTTCTGTGCCTTCCTTCTCAAAACGTATTGCATTTAGCTGCTGACACAGTTACTCATCTTCTAAAGTCCACAGTATTCCCCAAGTCTGTTTTTTTTTCCCCTCATCTTCAGTGTTACTCTGATTTAACTGTTCCATTTTGTTTTGACTTTTGATTATCCCAGGGTCCGATTGGTATGGATGGAAAGCTGGTAGGTGATTTGTTCAAAACCAGTGTAATTTAGGTCTCTCACATATTCCCCTCTTTGCTTTTTATAATTTCTTATCCTGAAATGTATATTAGTCAAATACTGGCTTCCTTCAGCATAACTTAGCATAGCAGTAGCAATCCAGTAGCATGGATTTTTAACAGGTTGCTGAAAAGCCACTTCAGTCTTTTACACCTATGCAAGGAAATGGAGGTCAGCCCTGCTCTTCCTCTTCACTTTTCATTTTCTGTCTGAATTAGATTGGAAGGCAGATGTTCCTCCTTGGGTGCTCTTTCCAAGGGTAGTTTGGTGGTGCCTTTCAAACAGCAGGATATCACTTCTGACTACATTTCTGTGACTCCTCCTTCTTTCACAAATTCTTATGTTTTAATTTCTGTGCCTGGATTGTGTTGGCTGATTAAATCCAAACAGCCTCATGTACATAATAAATGCATTTGTGTGATATTCTAGATATTCATTAGGGGTCTGCTGCTTGAATTAAGTTAGAAATAACATTTAATTTATACAGTGCATTTGTTAATGGATTGTACTTGTGTGTATATTTGTATAGCTCTATGTTTAGATGTATAAGCCTGGAAGTTTATGTTCCCAGCTCTTTAAAGATTAACACCATGGCAAAGGTGTGAAAATCCAATTTTGGCACTTTCTCTTGCTGTTCCTTTCACTCCCTCTCTTTTCTCCCTTCCCAGGGCACCCCTTTTCACTGATACCCTGGATACCTATTTTCTTTTTTATCCTTTTACTTACTACAAGCTCCATTTCCTTTGCAAGCTCAAATTGTTAACTTGCAGTGTCAGCTTTCATTTTCTCCTCTTTCTTTGCTCTTTGAGGTTTCTTTCTACTTTTAAGTAAAGTGTCTGTAAAAGTAACTTGCTTGCAAATGCAGTCAATAAGCTTTTTCTTTAATCTCTTTTAGGGGATTGATAATTTACCTGTTGACTTTAGTTACACCGTAGACTTTTTTTCTTTTTCTTTTAATATAATTTATATATCAGCAGCTAATATTGGTTTCAATTTCTAGGAAGGGATTAACTGTCAACAGTAGAAGACCTTCCATCATGGCAATTAGAAGAGGTTGCCAAATCCCTTTGTTTGCCTCCAAATAGTGTATTAAGCCAGCAAATAGGAATATAGAAGGGAAAATGGTTCTGGAGATTTTACTGAAACCATGAGATATTATGCAGCTATACCCACTGCAGTAATTTAGATTAAAAAAAAAAAATAAAAAGCAGGATTCAGTTGGGATAATCAAGTATGTGAGCAATAATCTGGGGTTCAAAGCAGCAGCCCCCAAAATGCACCCAACCAGTCAGTGGTGGTGGGACTGATCCCTAAATGCCTGCAAAGACTGCAATTAGTTGGTAGCTAGAATCAATGACTCAATTTTAGAGTATGTAACAGATTCAAATAAAGAGATATTCATTAGACAAAAATCAGAGTAATGCTGACTTCTCAGTCTTGAACAGTGTTTTCTCCCTGTTGGTTATCTAAAATTTAGAGAAAGACTTACAGCTAAAACATTTTAATCCACAAGGGACATGAAGTGGGGGCGATTTATGCAGCAGTGAACCAGACTGATATCATTCAGCAGTCCTGAGGCCATTTTGGGAACACAAGCAGATAAATTGAGATTGAGCTTGCTCCAATGAGTTATGATATCGGATTGAATTCATGTTAGAGGGTTTTTAAGGAACACCAAAGTAACTCAAGGAGCTTTATTCCTGACCCTTTCACAACATACAAAAAGGAGAGATTATTAAAATTAACAGCCCCTTTTTGTGTCCCACACTTTGAATTGCTGTTGTGTGACAATAACCCTTTACCATTAAAAATGTCAGTGTTGTGATGCTTTTCTACCCATACCTTTGTAAGAAGAGCTGATGAATTCCATGATTCAGTGCTTGCTGCACCCTCTGGGTAGTGTCACTTACTGGATCGCTTTTGAGAAGGGAAAATTCTACTGTAACTGCAGTGGATAGTAGGGCAAGGAGTAGATAAGACTTCTCAGAAATATTGAAGGATTAGGAACCATTGTAAAAACCAGAAAATAATTACCTTCACTAATGTAAATTTCCTTTCATGCTGAAGGAGCTAGCAGCCAAGGGGTTAAAATCATTCTGCTTTTGAGTACTTTTGTATTCAGCATCTGCATTTATAGCTTAATGCAGGGTCATTTTCATATTGCCAGCATATATGAACAAAGAGTAATGCAGTGATTATATTCCCCGATATCTCATAGAGTTTTCTGTCTACTTAAAAAAATGTTGCCCTATAAAAATTCATTTTCCAGCTTTTTCTGTATTGGAGACTGTATTGAAATAAGAGAATTATAAATTCTCAGTACCAGAAAGGCAAAGTGATGATGCTGTTGAGAGTAGAAAACACTTTTGTGGGAGCATGACTGCAAACCTCACCTCATATTCAATTCAGGATGTGTTTGTGTTATGTGTGTATGTCTCTTGTATCATACATATAGCATGTACCATGTGGACCCTTAGCAGCCTCTATGTCTTAGATGAAGGAAAGAAAGTAAATTTTCAAATCTCATTGTTGAAATATATATGCACATATTCAGTTTATTTGCTTTCTAGAGCTTTAAATCAACTCTTTGTTGAAACGTTTTGGTAATTTCAGACCTTCCTTTAAGTTTCGGCTTTTAAACATATATATATATATATATATATATATATATATATATTGGAGACAGCCTTTAATGATCTGGTCAAAATCTATTGCAACTTTAGATACTTTTGTGAGCAAATGTGTTCTTAATTCTGTGTATAAAGTTTGCAGGCACAGACCTCAGTTTAGGTAATTTATACAATTTTATTCTAGTGGCTGCCCAGTACTGCATCTATAAGCAATTCCTGATGATTTTAAGATCAGGTATAACATAAAATAGCTTAAAACCTGCTGTGAGGGGAAGATTGAGGTAATATATGAGTGCTGAGGAGTCTCAATCATATTCATTAACCCAGCATGATGTGTAATTTCATCGAGCTCACCAACTCAGAAAGTTTTAGCTAATACTTGAACTTCCAACCTCAGCCAGTAAGTTTGGGTTTTTTATATTCTCTATGGTGTAGTTTTGTTCTAAGGAATGAATAGAAAACTGCAGCATCCCCAACAAGGAATACTTTATGCTGCATTCAGTGTAAAGATTAGATAGCCACAATAATTCTGCATTTTACTATTACTCCTCTGTAATGTGATTCCATATATTTTAAAAAATATTTTAAAACCTTTGTGTGCATTTAAATGCCATTTTATTTTGGTTTTTAATTGGCACAAGAAACTTTATTAGTTATTCTAAAAAACATTTCTTCATTTGCTTTTTGTGTTAATAATGGTTCCCAGTCGAAATGTGTGTGCCTCCCACCCCATCTAAAATTGCCCAGAATCACAGGATAGTAGAAGTTGGAAGGGACCTCTGGAGGTCGTCTGGTGTAACTTCTCTGCTCAAGTGGAGCTGTCTCGAGCAGTTTGCCCAGGATCATGTCTAGATGGTTTTTGAGTGTCTTCAAGAATGGAAACTCCACAATCTCCCATGGTCCCATGCTTGGTTCACAGTAAAAAAGTATTTCCTGATGTTCAGACAGAAAAGCTTCAGTTCTCTTTAAAAGTACCTCCCAGCTGAAGTGGTTTTATATGATTTAAAAGAAGTCTCCACACTCAGTTTCTGTGAACAAAAGGAAACAGTCTCAGTTTAACTGAAGTCTTATTTTAGTTGTCATAAAACACCAGAGGCTAAGGTAGCCCTAGGCATTTAAAGGAATTCTCTAAGGAGAAATATGAAGTTACTTTTCTCTGTCTTACATTGTCTGGGTCATGTTGTTTATAGTCACAGCTACTGTACTTTTTGCTAAAATAATTCTGCTTTATGCAAGTAATTTCTGTTAAGGGCACTAAAATAATTCATGACTTTCATTGGCTTTTCTGGTGTAGGGAAATTAGGGATAGGAATTCTGCTCTGTATGGGCTTGCAGCAAGAAGAAATACAGTTCCCCAGTGTGCAAAGGGTGCCTCTCCACTTGTCCAGGGGTGATCTAAAGGGGATGTTGATAAATAAGAGAGAGGAAATGTATCAGCTGTCTTCTTGGATTGACTGACAAAAGCTCGTCTCAGACCTTCCACCATTGCTGGTTTAAATCGGGGTTTATACTCGCTTAAAACGATGGTGCCTGTAGCAATGGCAAAAATGCTGTTTGTCCAGCAGTGTGTTCCTCCAGTTTTGAGACTTGGTTCATTCAACAAGCAGTAGTAGTAAATAATTAGCAGCTCCTTGAGGTATGGAGGGGAGCCATAATAAAGAAATGAAAGAGCAAACAACCCATAATACCTGCCCTGAATCAACTCAGCACCTCTGGCTTCTTTCTCGCTTGAGAACTGTCAATTAAGTCCTCCTATCATTTCCAAATTGTTAATATCTAAAATAAGAAGTTTCTCAAATGCAGCTTTGATATGTTATTGTAATTTATTTCTAGAATCAGTTTGTTGCAAGAAAGTTCATCAGTTTGAATTAAAACACTCAAATTCAATATCAACTTAAGAGTCCAAAATCTGACTTCAATGCAGTCGCTGTATATTTTGTTAGCTCCTTATTAGAGAGAACTGTAACTATTTTCTACTATTTAAAGAGTTTATCCTTGTCATAACTTTCCATAATCTTTGTTTTTCTTGTTTTTTTCAGGGTCAGCCTGGTCCTCAAGTAAGTGCCATCTTATTTTCTTACATTAGTAACAGTTAAATACAGGGCCCACTGAGCTCAGGTTGTCTACAAAGTATTTTACTTTATTTTTTGATCCTACTGTAGTAAGATAGAAACTGATAACCATTGCATAATTCTGTAAGAAAAGTATTTCCCAAGAGAGAAACATGCCCCCCACATATGGTTAAGTTCCCTCAGCTGTCTGACCAGATGGTAGGGTTAACAACATAATACTGAATAGAGCAAATCTCCAAACTATGGCTTGAAACTTTGCCACCAAACTTTAAAGCAAGATAAAATAACTTAGCAAATGTGTAGCAAATGTAATACTTCAACTGCTTATTAATCACATGCTAATAATGTTGCTATAATCCAGGCAGCCCTCAGTTATTTTAAATATTGCACTGCTAGCTGTTTTGATTAATTAGATACGCTGCTTTGAATTAGTTCTGCTTTATTTAAGAATAGTAGGACTTTGTCTTGTGAGCTGTAATTGAAGATGTGGAAATCTAGGGACCTAACTTCAGTTCTAAGGAAGAAATAGAGCAGCAAAAAGGAAACATTACATATAGCAAAAATGAAATGTGAATTATTTGAGTGTTATAAAATATGAAAGAGCAAGGAAATACGAAAAACAAATAAATTACCAAGCCAGTACCAATGCCATACTTAGTGAAATCAGTTGAGAAACTCAGGTTTTTTGTATGCTCCGTATGCTTTGTGGGAAGTAAGCTTTGGTCTGTGGAACTGTCTTAGCACAATTTAGTTGCCCAAACCAGGATTTCTATGAGGGTCTTTTGTATTTCAGAATCATAATTGAAAGTTAGAGCTTTACCACCATATTGACTGGTAATTTTTTAAAGATTTTCATTATGAGACACAAGCATTTATTTTAGATTTTTTAGTTTCTAAATATCATTTTCTGTTGAAAGACATATTGATTTACAAACCCTTAAATCACTTGGTCTAAATGCACAGTGTCCTTGCAGTGTCAGGCTCCATTTAACAGAACTGTGTAAGAAATCCATACGATACTGGAGATGACCACTGCCCATGGCACTTATGTTTCACAATAGGCTCTTGATGTATGGACTATACAGAGAGCTATCTTCAGGCTCTGTACTGATGAAGAGAGACACTGTAATTCTGTGTGGCACTGTAGCTCTGAGCAAGCTCTGTTGAAGACCTGAGGCTGATTCTGGAGCCTGTGGGCTGCCCTCCAGTTGATGTTAACTTGTGCTGCCACCCGTGTCCTTTCCTTCTGGGTTTGGACTCTCACCTCCCATATTTCAGTTGCTTAGAGAGTGTCTCTTGCCTAATGCTTGTAAACAGCTGCTCAGTCTTTGGAGCTCACATCTCTACGTGAAACGCCCTGGGATAGCTGTAGGCAAGGAACCGTGTGGAGATGGCAGCGTTCAGCACTGTTTCAAGGGCAGAAAGGCAGAGAAATCTCATCAGGGTGTAAGAGAAGTGAGGTGCAAGCTGAAGAAAAAACCCTCTAAAAATGTCCCCCATATTGTTTTGAGAGACTATTCTTATTGTTAACTTCAATAATTCCTTCCAGTGGAAATGCTCACCTCTGAGTCATCACCATTGTCCTCAGCAACATGTACCATTATCCTTAATAATGCCTTTTCCTCCTTTTCAGCTCAAGATGCTCTTATTGTGTCAGGAGGATATGTGTGTACTCAGTCATTTTGACTGGCTGATTGAGTCCAGGAATAATTCTTTTGGGAGCACTGGTGGGGAAGACATAAGGGCATAAAACAGAGTCGTGTTCAGCTTTACATTAAGATGCCTAAACCCAGAAGCTTGTGTTGTGTAGGTGTTGACGTACAAGGTGTCTAAGCACTCCTGGCAGTCAGTGGAGGTTAAGCCAATACTCAGTGCACCTAGAAACCTGTTCAGCTCATGGTGAGCTCCTTGGGCTCAGTACATTGTCTGCATTCAGGCATTTGTTGCTGTGTGAATTGATCCGGCGTCTCTGGCCTCAGCCACTGGCTGTTTTGTGTACGGGCTGGAGTCTGTGCTGGGCTGTGGTTGTAGCTGTCAGTCACAGGCAGCTGTCTTGGATACCTAGGGAAGCTCTCACGTGACACTAGCTGTGCACATTTGTACCTCCTCATTCCAGATTCTGACTGTAGGCAGCTACTGAACCAGATAACTCTTCTGCTGAATTGCTTTCTAGCCAGTGTTGACATCTGCGACTCTCAGGCAACTACAGGCAGGCTGTACATTTAGAAGTTTATCCCCTTAAACTGAAACTCAGACCCAGATAACTTGGTGAAACAGCACTTTTAATATTTTAAAAGTGGAGTTTTTAAATATTGGAAGCTGTGGTTGAAAATCTCAAGACTTTTAAAAATCAAAAGTATCCACAGAAAACAGAATTCATTCCCATACAGATAAAATAAATCAAACCCCCTTGGCATGTCATTAAGTAATGCAGAAATTCCAGCCTATTATGATTGTCTCCAATTTCTCTGATCTTAACTGCATCCCTGAGAAACTCAAAATTTAAAGTATTGATCAGTTTGATTACTAGGTAAAGTCTTCATGCTTCAAAGAACAAAATTTTTATGCTGATTGGAGAAGCACTTAGGAAATTTCTGGTGTCCTAGCCATGCAAGTCCATGCTAAGGTGAGGGATAAATTCTAATAATTTCTATACTTGTTGTTTTATTAATCCCTGTTCTTTTTCATTATGGTTTTATAAAGTACATGCTGTATTCACCTTACACACACCTAATTGCTGGCCACATCCTCCTATCATTTTAATTTTTTTACTGCTTATTTTCTTCAAGATAAAGATAAACTTTCACAATATAATTTTGCTTCACATTTTCCCATTTTAAGTAACAACAAGCTTAATTACAACTTACAGGCAGCTTTTTTTTTTTTTCTTCCAGAAGAAGCTTATGGTTTTGTTGCATTTCTGAAAAGTAAAGACCACAATAAGAAACTAAAGAATTTCTAGCCTAATCTTTAAAAAAATAAAGTCTCTTCTTATGATTTTGGTTTTCTGTTAGAAAGAAAGCTATTTTAAATACCATGTAAGCTGTGTTCTTCTTTAGAAGAGCAAGTAATAAAATCTTTAATATTTTTGCTGAAATTAAATTCTGACTCTTGAGTGACCCCAAAAAACCCCTGCCTTTTCTTATCTGGAATATAAATATGTATTTAGATTAGCTTGAACCATAAAGGGTGCTTCTCGCAGTAAATCTATACAAACCAATTCTGCCCATACTTTCTCTTTTGTAAATAATAGAAGTATTCCTGCTTGTCAGAGAACAAAGTTTAGCTTCTAGTCTAATGTTAATTCTGTAATACATGTGCTATCTGGGTAAAGAGAGAATGCTGGCTATTTAAAACTTTTTTTTGTTGTTCAGAGGTAAGGTTCGTGTAAATAATAGAAGCCATGTTTTTAATATCATGGTGAAGGAAGACAAAACAATCCTTTAAAAACATTTTGCTGAACTAAAACTATTAAAGACTGTAAGTATGGGGTAGGGTGGTGTTTTGCTTGACTTGGTCTCAGCCAGCCAACTGTTTCCTTCTTTGGGGCAGTATCCTCTCCCTGGCCCATCTCTAGCCCAACATGCTTTGTCTCTCATGTCAGCACACATGAGCACTCTCTGTGTGGGACTTTGACATACAGCAGCCTCACAGATGCTTCTCCTTTCTCTTTGGCAGCTCTCCAAGTCTGCATTAAAAATGGACAAAGTGTTAATGATTGATACTTGTTTTCATGAAATTCTTTTTTTCCTTTGTGTGGCACGTCCATGGACGTGATGTAGTAACAGTCTGAAATTTCCCAGTGCCTGGTGCATGATAAAGGTTTCCATAGCAATTCCAGTGACAAATGTATGTGTGTCCTTTTTTTCACCATCAAGCATCAGGGTATGTGACTGCAGTATTTTTAATTTCTGATGACAGAGATTCTGATTCACGGTTAAACTGGCTGTTACTGGCTAGTGCTGTCAACAGTGCTGGTGGGAACCATTTTAGCTTGTAGTTTTCTGGTTTTTGTCAAAGGACAGAGAAACATAGCAGGCCATAGACACTAGTTTTGAGTGGATTTGGAAGGCAGCAGTCCAGGGAAGATATTTATAACTTCCTAGAGAGCACTGTGATGGTAAGGACACTTCTAGATGTTAGAAAAGAGTATCTGACAGTAGGAAGGATGGGAAAGGCGGTGTATGAACAAAATGTGTTTTAATTCCTGTTAAGCTTCCCTTTCAGTTTTCGTAGTTTTGGGTAGCCATCGGCATTCCACAACCTGTCCAATATTGTTCTCAGTGCATGCCATTCAGTAGTAGGGCAGTTGATAACATCAAGTGATTGTGTGTGTTTTTATGGCTTTTTAAGCTAGGTACATAATGTCCTGTTGACCATTGCTGCAGAGTGGCCTCTGTCTGTCAGGTTGTTAGAGTTGGACATGTTTATTTTGTTCTGATCACCATGAATTGAGGTGTCAACTCCACATTCCTTTTTTTCTAGCAGTTTCCTCTCATGAATATCTCAAGACTCTTTACTTGCATGGAGAGTGGGGGACAGAGGCAAGAGATTCACTTAGGAAAGACAAAATCAGCCAAAGACTGAAGCAATAGTTCACTTTCAGATACACAGTGCAGTAAAGTTACTGTTCCTGGGAGAATCCCAGTGCTTGTACCCAGGCCATCAGCTGTTCTCACTGTGGAGAATGATCTCCTGGGGTATTTCTCCTAGAAACTCATACCCTATGCTCCTTTTTAAACTTCTGCAGAATTGTATTACTCAGATGATTATACAAATGCTGATCTGCTTATGAGTTACAAGTTGCAGGTCAGATTTTGCTGTCAAACTTCAACAATTAGTTTATTAACATGAGGTAGCAGACTTTTTCTTACTTTCTTAAAAGTCTTTTTCTTACTTTCTTTGTACAAATAATAAAGATAAATCCTTGATGCCTTTGCTGCTAATAACAATTTACTGTAAATTATGAGATGAAAAATTAATCT